CCTCAGGCCCAAGCTAATGTGGCCTTGCCTGCCTCCAGACCATCTACTCTGACCACTGTTCATGTCTTCAGTTCTTACTTCAATCTCCCTGCCTTTCTCAAGGAAACAGAAAAAACTGCATCCAAAAATCAGACCTAGTAACCTCAGCCTCTGGCTTACTCTCTGTGGCTCACAATTTTTCAGACTTAACCATCTCTATTAAATTTCCTTGTTTTATTTGCTATCCTGTAAAGGATTGTTAGCTCCTGAATTCATTCTCAGACAGCCACATTTCTGTGTACAGAAATACAAGCAAGCCTTTACCCACTTTATCTCTTACTGAACAGTTTTTGCTGTGTCTAATAGGAACTGTGGAGTTCAAACAAGTGGGGAGCAATAAAGAAGGAATAGAATTAAACATGCCTATGTCACAAAGTGTAAGTCAGAAAAGCAAGGAAATCAAGGCTGTTTCTAAGGTGTCTCTACCAAGCATCTCAAAACTGAGGCATGAACTTGCAGAAAGGCTCAGTGTGAGATGGAGACAGATAATTCTAATTCTATGTGTTAATGCCCCCATAGTCAGAGGAACTTTTCAATGTATCCAAGCCCCAAGGGAGTGACTTGGTTGACCAGCAGGAGGCTAAGACAGGTGTAATGTCTCCACCTGAAGAACACAGATCTCCCTCAAGTTCCCTGCTACATTTGCAAGTCCTCTAAAATTCTATTTAAACAGTCAAGTTTAAATAGCAGTCAAACACCTGCCTACAAAATAATGGATGGTTATACCTGACAAGGTGTATCTGTAAATGGAAGCTGTGGGGTTTCTTCATGTCTGCAAAGCATTTAAATCCTGAACACAGATGTACATAACCAGGGTAGGAAATTTTACCACAGGGATTTATAACTGCCCACACAGAAAGTCATAACTGTTTTAGAATTCAGGAGTTCACGGCTGTTTGCCCTAAGTTTCATCCACATGCCCACAGTCTGAATCACTTGAATGAAGCACTTTCTACTCACAGCATGCTGTCATTTCTTTTTAATGTTTGTACTCAAATGAGAGGGACCATTCTTGAATCACTGCCTCAGCCTCAGCATATAAATCTGACTCAGATTCATAGGCCTGCAAGCCATTTAATTTTGAAAGAGCACAGGAAAATTAAAAACAGCTTTGTAATTTTGTACTGGAACAGGTGTATCAGTATGTCTACAGAACTCTGGTACTGCCAGGAATATAGCACAGAAATTTTGAAAAATTTAGGTTAAAGGTAAAAGGTAAATTTTAAAAGGTAGTTAGGTAAAAGGGCACAACTGCATCCTCAAAGGAGCTTTAACGTTGGATCAAATGCAGCTGCCAAACTGTTGGACCATGCACCAATTTAGTGACTAGATGAGTCACAGAAGAACTGCCACCTCCTCCTGCTCCAGGACAGGATTCTGGTCATCATTTCTCTGCTGTTCAGGAAAAGCATGAACTCCTAAAAAATCAATAAACTACCCTTGTAATTGATTCCCAACGTTTTGGCTATGCTGTGAGACACAGAAGGGCTACTAAGAACACAGTGCTGAAACCAAAACAGGGTCAGCACCAAGACAGAGTACCTGGGTAGTCCTACAAGAAGCACTTCACTCTGTCCAGAGTTACCTGGAGCTCCCGCTGTCTACATTTTCTGTAGTTTTCAAGTCATCTCCTTCTAGGATGTGTCAGCACCACAAGGTTAACAAAGGCATTGAAAGATGGTGTTAGGTGTGGATTTTCCTACAGGACATGCTGCTGGATCACATTTGCTCATTGCTGTGAACAAATAAATTATGGTTCAGCCAGAAGTTCTAGAAAGGACCGGGAAAAACATACCGCAGGTCACAAAAGTGCTGTGCCCAGGGACATAGGTACAATGTGTGGTGTAGATGTGCCTGGGAGAGCTTGAGAATGGATGCTCCATAGGCTCCATAGGCTCCCCAGGGAAGTGATTACAGCCTCCAGCTTGAAAGAGCTTAAGAAGTATTCGGACACTGCTCTCACGCACATGGTGTGACTCTTGGGGACGGTCCTGTGCAGGGCCAGGAGATGGACATTCCAAACCCCTTCAAATATCCTCACAGCATCCCTGACACACACAGAAACCTATCCTGATCTTCACAAGGGCATTAAAGCCGAGACTTGCAGCGCAGCCCAGACTCTTTATTACCACCAAACCCCCGAATTCCTCGGCCCCTATCCGTGTCCCTCAAGCAGCTCTCCCCCGTCTCCACGGCGGCGCCGGCGGCCGCTCCCCGCCCTCCGCCGCCCAGCCGCTCTCCACAGC